TATATATATATATATATATATATATATATATATAATTAGCTTTAGCAACAGTGCTGCAATAGACACTTAACTGGGTGATATACAGGCATTAGAACTTTTGGCTCCTAACAACCTCAGATGTTCGACTATTTAAACTCAAAAAGAAATAGGCGGAAACAATATTCAACAAAATAGTATTTAGCAATGACTCATTTTGAAATAAAATTCATCACGTAACTCGTCAGTTCCACTTGAACTGATACGAAAGGTCTAAAGTGCAGACTCATCATTTTCTTCTAATCAGCTACTAAAAGTTAGAATTTTCTTTACATCTGCTTCTTAGTTCCCAGTGCTAAACAAGAAATTACAGGTCTTATCAAACTTTACAAGATCATCCCAACTAAAACAAGGTACGATGAGCGGCAACTGCATGCAGCAGTCGCACTATGGAAATCTCAAGCTTGAAACCGCACTTACGCAACTTCCGTACTCGTATTTCGCGATCTTTTGGCTAGTATTTGGCACACCAAGAAGTGCCATCACGTTTTTTGGTATGAGGAAACCAAAAACTTTATCAGGTGTTTTCTGAAACACAATCAAAGAAACATTCACCTGTTTTGTTCCTCAACTTTATATTGGTTTCTATTTTTAACTTCATCGGCCCCTCGTACTGTTACTATGTGAACTTTGACAGACTACCCACGACAATTCCACGCACAGAAACCTCCTTGAAGTGCTGTAACGTTAAAAAAAATATAGAAATTGCCCGGTTTTGATCCATTTTCAGCAGGAACAAATCCTGATAGATGAATAGAAGTTCGAATCGTAGATAGAGACAGCTTTTTTTTCTTATTTACTTGCAAAAAGCTGGAAAACTCTATTTTACCGCAGTTCGCAAAAACTTCAGTTCTCAAAAACAGTCGCGTATGGGAGTTAAACCAGAGCCAAATAAGTTCAAATAAAAAATAAGGTTTGGAATCATTGTTGAAAACTAAAACCAAGGTGAACAATCAGATATACGACAAAAGGCAACAGTTAGTCGGCAGAAAATTTAAACTTTCAGTAGGAATTACCCGAAGTGCAATACCACCCCTATCCGTTTAGCGATCAAATTAAGACCAGCCATGCTGTACGTCCTAAACCCGAAGGAAAGAAGGGAGAGGTGTAGCATTTTACAAGAATACAGAGCCAAAAGAGAAGTTTCACAGAAACAACGGCCGCATACAGTGATCTCATTGCCAACGTGCCGTTTTATCACAGCAAAAGTAACTGAATGAGAGAAACATTTATATTGGAGAGTTAGTTTTCAAGTCCGGAACCATTTTGTTTTATTTAAAAAACGTTCATTATTTTGCGTTTGCTTCTTCAGAAAATTTTGGTTCTTGACTCCGCTATAGCTAAAAACTGCATCGGAAGTAGCGAGTGGCGGAATTAGTGGCGCTTTTGACCCGGATACATCAAAAATATTCCAGAAGGACGACTGCCGCATTTATTAAGATTTCTTCACAAATGACCACTGTAGAAATCTGTATCGTTCCTGGGCCGATTACAGTAGAAGGAAAAAAGGTACGAGCGATTTTGCTCCTACAAAGACTTTGTTAAAATTATCTCAAATAATCCAGGTTCGAGCCCTCTGCAAACAAATATGTACTGCTTTGTCAATTTAACAGTTGGGTGTTCCACAGAAAACCAAGTATTGCCTAACCGAACATTCCGATTCCATTCTTTTCAGTAAATTAAGGAAAAAAATTTATTTGCAAAAAAGTTCACTTATGGAACCAAAAATAAAAATGACAAAAATCGGATTGTTCCAAGCCTTTTACCACGACAAATTCAAATCTCCAACTTGGAAAAGTCGATAAAGCACCGAAAGTCCACTGCCATCGGTCGAACTTCCGTATGTAAAGTATTTTATCGGCTGGTGCTCATCTAGAAAATTCAGCAATTAGATTAGTGAATTTTCCATTATTATGAAAAAAGGATGCATAAATTACTTTAAGATGGTGTATTTTTTAAACAGTGCAAAATAATGTTTACTTTTCAGAAGTATTCTATTGGATCTTTTTCCATGGAAGACTTACTAACCGTAAGTTAAAATTGTTTGCCTATTAAAGTTCACCAAATAGATTTATTGCTTTAATCTGTTCAGGATATGACGTCCTCCTTGACATTCCAGAGAAGTACACCAGTTTCTGATTGCGATTTGGAGCTACTGTTGCTTATTTTGGATAATTTTGTTGCTACTTGAGAAAATCAACAGGGAAAAATGCCACAGTGTAATGTGACGGAGTGATCGGCAAACTTCATGTGATCTTCAGCAAGGCAGAAACCGAAGACGTTTATGCGCTTTAAAAGAACTGCAAAACTCTGGTTTCATTCTTTTTCGCAGAACTGCTAAGTGGTTTTCCGCATAAATAAAAGACCAACTCCGTGGCACTATTTTGGTGTCTCGTTAACTCTAATAGCATAAAGAGATTTTTGTTTTCATTGCAGAATTTTGTTACTTTTTGCAGAAAACGACTATTTTGATACAACATTTAGTTTGAAGAATAAAAAATTCGTATTCAAAATGGAACTTAAAGATACGTTTTAAAAGCCTTTAAGTTATTAGGTTGATCTAAATGTATTTTCAACTTTGTTATTCCTTTAATTCGCTGCTTTAAAAGTATTATTTGTCAGATACGCTAATACTCAGCCTTGTGTTCAAAAGTATAAGATCTACTAATCCTTATTTATGCGGTAGGACGAAGAGGAAGGTAGGATGAGAAGAAAGAAATGCAATGGTGATTAACCGGAGTGTCTAGAGAATTTCCTAAAAGTTTATTAACCAAATTCACTAATCCGAGAAACAAAGATTTTTAAACAAAAGAAAACTCGATACTGTATTTTTGTGCAGGTACTAAATACACTAACTAAAAACAAGATCTAGAAGCATATTTGCGAACAGCCATTATTGACTGACCGTAATTATTTAGTCAATGCAAATGTGACGAAACTTGCAGATTTGACTACACTGAGTAGCACCTTCTATCAACTTCTGACTAAGGTTAAATTTATTGCAGAAAAAGTTGCAAAGGAACGCAGAGCACATTGGGAATTGCTTGGTTAAAAAAGCGTTATTTTGATATGAAGACTTCCTTCAACTTCCTTTGGTTCTTCCGCCGAACCCGAGAAGTCTTAGGATAAAAAATTGGGCTGAAGAGCTTATGATTATGTAGCTGTCTTATGTAGCTGTACAATATGTAGCTGTCTTTTCTGAAATTGCGTTGAAGACGAGCCGTAAGGTTACTAACAAACGATTAGGCAATATATAAGCCGCTTCCGGAATTATCGCATGTTTTTTTAAATCAGTATTTCAAAACTGATTCCTTTTAAACTTTTTGAACGAAACGATCTATGCCAGCTACGAGTGGTCGAAAAGCTGGCCTCTCGTCAAAAACCGGTATCTCTCCTCTCCCCCACCCAAAGATGCGGAAAACTGAATTAGCTGCTAAGATGTGACGCATCTTTAAAAACTGCAGTTTTTAGCTTTAGGTAGCTGACTGACAATTTTTGGTTCTTCTAGAAAAATGTTTTAAAATCTTTGTTCTTCCCCGCAAACTACAGAAATGACACTATTGCTTCATTAATGACTCTAACTGCGTATTGCTCTATCAATTGAACCATCAACTGTTCCACAGGAATGGTACAGTGCTTAAGTGAGTGTTCAGATCACACCCTTTTCCACAAAATCAGAAAAAGGCTTCCAAAGCTTTTTCACTTGAACTAATGACCGTCACTAGGTAAAATAGAAATTTATGAGTAAAATTAAGCAGAGTTCAAACAGTATTACAGGAAACTTTCCTTCCTAAAGAAATTATGCTGCATGACTCTCCTTGGAAAATTTATGTTTATAAGCTAAAATTTCATGACCCCTATAGCTTACTGGAAAAATAACCCGCCACATTCCGTTCCGAACACAATGTACTTCTTGCCACTGCACTTACTTGAAGGTTACTGAAAATTTTCTTCTTCTGGTTATGACTAGCTTCATTTAGAGATGTTAAGAACAAATACTAACACGACGAAACAAAACGAGTCAATTAAAGAACAGTACCAAGTTCTCTAGAAACAAAAGAGAGTAGACGTCTAGGTGTCCTATAAAAAATGTAAAGTTTTGGTAGTTTATATAATTAGTTCTTCTAGTCTCTCTCTCTTAATTATTTTTTCTAAATAAAAATTTTATATTAATCCTAATAGCAAAAAACGTCTTTTCTACCACAAGACGTCAGTAACGTTTATTACCTTCTGCAAGATACTATTCTGATGCATTATACAATCTAGATGATGACAAACTTGTTCTTCAAGAAAAAAACACCCAGCAAACATCTATTTCTTCAACTGCAATTCTTTTATTCATTGGACATCTGTTTTCTGAAAGAAAAAAGTTATATGCTTACACACATACACATATAATCCGTTCCACAGGTAGACTGAGATCAGCCACGCTATGCGTAGTAGATTTAAAGAAAAATGTTGCAGTTTGGTAAACTGCAGAATCATTAACCGAATTCTCAAAGACGACGGTTGCGTACAAAAGATCTCATTGTCAATGCTCCGTTGTTTTGCAGCGAAAGAGACCGGGAAGCAGATTTCTAGCCAAGAGTTATTTTTCTTTTCTGAAACCGTTTTTTAGGTGCAAAAAGGATGATGAATTTTCGTCTGGTCCTTTACTTCGGAACCACTTTGGCTCTTGCCGCGTCTTCTAATGATACTTCTTCGATAAAATCTAGTGAAAAAGTGGCTGTCCCTTCAACTCAGGAGATTTCACCAGCAACAACTGGTAAGAAAGCGGCTACTGTTTCTGCTCAGAATTCCTCAAAAGCAGCCAGAGAAGAAGCAACCGCTAAGGCAGTTCAGAAAAATACATCAGAAAAAAAGCTTGAGGAAGCAGCTACTACTTTCACTGACGAAACCGCGTCGAAGATAACCATTGAGAAAGGGAATATTGCTTCTACTCAGGATTCTTCAGAAGTAACCGATGGAGCAGATATTGACATTTCTTTTGAAGACTTAATTGATGACTTAGTGGACGTTAAAGCATTAACGAAAATTTCACAGGGTGCGTTTCGTTTTATTAATTTAACTAGCAAGTGTAAGAAGTGATACTCTACCTGACTAAATATTTATATCTTGTTCTTTTTTAATTTGATAAAGAAAATTATTTGCAGAAGAAAACTAGATCCAAAAGTAGTGTTAAAGCTTTTTAAAATATAGTATTGTTCAGAGCGTCTTCGCCACTTACAGATGTTAGCACGATATGCACTTCTAACAACTTGAAGAAGTTGATAAAAAATTGAGAATTCCTCGTTATTGGTCGAACCTCCGCATGTGATGTATTTTTGTTTACCAGTGATCGGCTGAGTTATGTGACAGTTGATTTTTTTTTTTCAAATTTCAAGAAGCAATGTGAGAAAGACCTTGAGCCGGCGTTTTACCGTAACAACGCAACAGGAGGTACGTTTATTTTTTGTGAACACTCTGTAGTACTGTTCTAAGAGAAGGTTTCGTGACGGTAGGCTAAAGTTTTGTGCCACTTAATGTTCAAAAGTAAATGCTTTGTTGTAATTCATTCAGAATACGAAGTGCTTCTTGCCACGCACGGAGAAGCATATCTGCTTGATTGTAAGTGGAAAACTATCACTTCTGGTTACTATCGTTGTGATTTTAATCTGTCGCCGACAAAGATTATCCGACTGCAAAATAAGGAGAAGAATTATAAATTTTTTGGGCATTTCGTCCAGGCAGAAACCGAATATATCCATTGGCTTTATAAAAATTGTAAAATTTTGGCAACTCATCTTTTTCCTCGTGATTCTTTTAATTACTTTCTACTGAAGACAATAAAATTAATCCAATTTAAATGTTATATTGATTCCAATAGTAAAAAGCACTTCCTATTGTTGCTGCAAATCTTTATTGCATTAAGCGAAAAACGAGTATTTCAATGGCAGTTACAACCTGAAAAGTCAAAAATTTGTTTCCCAAATCCCGCTTGAAATTCCAATCGAAGATCGTGTAATTTATGATATCGATCTACATGTTCGTCCAATTCTATTATTCGCTTAATTCAGTGCCCTATAAAAATTTTTCTCAGTTACTGGCAGTCACTCTACTGTTTAGAATCTTAAAGCAAAAGTCTTTTCTAAGGCAATAGAACAGGGAGGGAGGGAAAGATAGTAAGAAGGAAATAAGAGAGACGAACTTGAGTGCAAAGAAAAGATTAATTATCTAAAGGTTTGTTGATCGAACGCGTAATTCTGAGGACTTATATAATGAAGAAAATCAAATATTACATTTTGGAGCAGTTTGTACGCACTAGCTGGAGATAAGATTTAGAAGCAGATTACTAAACAGACTGCTATTATGTACAATGTTTTTTCGCTGCGGTCAGTAGTGCGTCGAAAAAAGTGAAGATTTTGACCGCAATCATTGGCTAAAAAGCTGAGATATCATTAAAAAGTCTATCAAAATGCATACTCCTCGCTACCGTGTTTTTTACGGCGCCTTTACTTTTACATAAAGGGAACTCTTCATTCCGCCGAGGAAGAAACAAATAAAATGGGAGTTTTCCGAATGTCAACCTCAAAAACAGTGAAGAACGTGGCGTCTGATTATAATTACATCTCAGTCAGCGATGAATTCTACATTAGCAAAGAGATAATTACTAGATCACTAATTCTTGATATTTCCTCCCCGCTCTGATAACGCACTTATAAACTGATAAACTAGCATTAACCGATGCGGAGAACGTTCTTCTTTACCTACTTCTTAGCAGTCTTCGTGAAACAGCTCTTCAGTCTTACTCTGTACGGTGAGACTTTTTTTAGGTTGCATCTGATGGAACCATTCAATATAACGCAGGCAAATTTGGTGAGGCAACGAGATTTTGCATGGCTGAAAGACAAATTTACGCAGCTGAAAATTTTGGTTCAACTGCAGAATAGGAAATCCCTGTATGACAACATCACCAAGGATATCAAATTGAAAAGTGATTATATTCGACGGCGATCAGCCGACGGCGGAGGAATCCGTCGAATAATCCGCCGCGTAGCGCAGGAGCTTTCAACATTCGCTCCCCTCGAAAACCAGTTATTGAGAAAGAGTGATGAACAGCAACCAACGATCCCCATCGTAGAAGAAGAGTGGACCACTACTGAAGCAAAAGACAAGAGAGGACACAGGAAAGCAAATGCAGCTAATTCCTTGGCTGTAAAAACTTCGGTCCTGTTATTGCTGTTCTCTAGCGTCGTTTTCCAACTATAAAGGTGATAAAAAATTTTTGTGAAATACAGTTGTTTCTTTTAGTCTTGATTCTTCTAATTTATACCCTTTTTGAAGTGAGAAATAAAAAATTCCCAAACTAGCATACTGCAGGTGATGTAGAGAATTTATATCCATCGTTGTCATGTTTGGATAAACTGTAAAAGCCGCTATTGGTACACAATGATGCAAAAATCATATCAAAATTTTAGTGAAAATCCTACAGCTAGTTGCAGTTAGTCGGTGTACACATAGAGCATTTCTGATAAAACTTTTAAAAAAAAATCTTTTTTGTCGTTTTCGACGGGATCCGCAACTGCTGTTCTAAAATTATAATGAAAAGTGTGGGGTTCGCTAGATGCCGAATGTCGTAAACAAATTAGTCTGGAATGGAGACATTCAGGTGGTGATTACTGGCATTTACAAGTATTCACAGCCAGAAGCCTCCATTGAATGGAAAAATAAGTGGACACAATATTAGGCTTTTAGAAACCGACAGAGGCAGTTCTACTACGCAAGTTACTGTGGTGTTGTCCAGCCTAGTAATCGTATTTTTGGACATTTTCTTTTTAGATTATCGAAACCCTCCTACGCTTTGCTGTACTAGAGCATTAGCAACTGACCTGCACTATTGCTAAACCCGCTACTCTTTACAAACGGAGAAGTAGGTAAAAACACCCACGTAACCTTTCAGATTTTGAGCTCAAAAAAAGACCACATTCACGATTAAATTTTACTTTTTTATTTGGCACATTTTGCATATCCTCTATCCAAAAACTTGTGAAAGTGAGGGTTTTTTAAATTAAATGTAAAAGGCACTGGAAATGCCGAAAAAGTAAAACAGCGGATAAGACAAAACCTGCTGGTTCAAGTACATTAGGCGGTATCTACCACAAATTTACGGTCAAAAAAAGCTTCCTCATGAAAGAAGCTGCAGGGGACTGCAGATCTTGACCATAACAGCTTGCCATAGGTCCATCAACCAGTGGAGGACCGTTTTTTGGTAGCAGTCTTTCAGTTACATATTATGAATTGTTTTAAGCGAAATCGCACACAAAAAGGTTAGAAAACCTGTTAACACGTAAACGAATACTAAAAAATGGACGAAGGAAGAAGCAATCCAAGCTGTCTTGTTGAAACTTTTATCCCAGGAAAAGGTATGTCAGCGAAACCTTCAGTGTCGCTAAAGGGAAGAAAAAATTTTAAGAAGAAAACAGTAGTTTAGGCTTTCAAAATTCTACACGTTCTAAATACATAACCATTGCCTGTCGCTTACTGATTGTTTGCACTCATCAGTCTAGAAAAGAAACTTCACAGTAATTAGTATAACACCTGATCTGTCACCCTCTACTACGGCATGGCTGTAAAAGGTGTGTAAGTTTGAGAGCTGCATCACGAAAAAAATAACGAAGACAAATGTCAGCAATAGTACCAGCGAGATACTGGTTCAACGGTGGACACTCCAAAATTATAATAAATTAGTTAAATTTGTGTCGCGTCATTTAAACAAAATTATATCCTTCTGAGTCGTAATTGTTAAATATTAATGTTGAAACTCTAGGCACTGTATTCCGAAAAGAATGCTAATCGATCATCATAACTGCTTAAAAATTTTTTCTACGAAAAAAAACAGTAAATTATTTCCTGTGTCAACAACGAATTCAGGAACAGTTACGAACTCCAGAAAAACAAAAATGAAGTGTTGCAATCGAACAAAAATATTTGAGTTGGGATCTTTCTATAAGCAAACTCAATCAACAAAGTTGTGTCAGAAAAGCGAAACTGGAAAAATGAATTCGAGCTTATACCTCATTCCCGAACTAAGTTTCACACACAGAGCTTCCCAGTAAATAACCAGAAGTTCAGCTGCAGAGCGTAAAAACGATGAAAGAGTTTAATTGAAAGAGTTTATCTAATTGAAAATTTTGAGTTCTCCTTGAGAGGATGCATTCTAGTAGAAAAGATTCTCAAAACTTTTATTTTTCTTCACAAGTTACAAAAGTGATACTAAATTCTGATTTTTAAATGTGCTTACTAAATACTGAATATAAGAGAAATTTAAAAGAGACGGACGGAAAGGAAGTAGAAATCTGGCAACAACTGTGTATTGTTTCATTATGCATTATTAATCTAACCGTTAACTTTCCCACAGAAGACAACATATTGCCTAACAGACGTTTCTTTCTTCTTCATGAAGTGAAGGGAAGAATCTATTTGCAAGGAAAAACTATTTCCAGTACCAAAGATAAAATGTGAAATAAAGGGACGCTCAGAACTTGTTGCTGCATAAAACTTGTTACTTCACCAGTTGAAGCAGGAATTTATAAATGACATTAACCCAGGTGTTCATCTGAACAGCACTACAAAAAATGTTTTTTTTTCCTTTGAAAGTCTTATACCACGTCCTTCCAGTTGAAAAATTTAGTAGCTATAGGGTAAGCGTTGTGACAGTTGAAGAATGCGATGTGGACGTAATGCTTTAATCCATTCGGGATACATCGTACTTTTTGCCGCTATCGCAGGAAACCACTACGCCTTCCTAGATGTCAGTAAAATTCTTATTCTTTTGGTCATTAATGCCATTGTTATTACCTCAAAACAGTTACAGTAAAAGCCAACACACAAAAACTTGGAATGATAATGCAGGAATGTTATGCGGTTCTTCATAAACCAGAAATGCATACTTTATAAGCAGCGTAAGGTTCTGACACTTCACCCTTTTTCCTTAACCGTTCTGATTGATTCTTATTAACGAGGAAAAAGCCTGTTGAATCAGAATGTCTTTTTATTCTAACAGTGAAATACAGTTTCTATTGCTGTCACGAAATTCAAGCACCGTTCATGGTGTTTATCAGAACACTATCTCAATGCAACATAATGGTAAAAGACGAATTTTTTCAAAAGATTCCTAGTGCTTTACAGTTCTGCGACTTATAATCGTCGCAAATGCGACAAAACTTCAAATTCGAAAAGAAACGGTTTAACTAAGTACGCATCACAAGAACAAAGTAATATCAGCAATAAAGGGATTTATTTGGCATCGTAACGTCTCATATTGCATTGAAGAACTTTTAAGAATATATAAGGCAAATCAGACCAAGTTGAAGAACTCTTCTGTCGGAACAGAGATCAGGAATAACATTATTTGTATTATTTCGTTGCCGTTTTTCCGTCTCGAAACAGATGAAAAAATAGACCGGTTTATTGCGACTAAGTCTTTTACTATCCTTTTTTTCAATTAGACAGAGACGACGTGTTACGGTAAAAATGCTAGATCATTTCACACTAATATTCTTTTTGCTTTATTACCCACACATTTCAAAACAAACCGTATCGGTTTTAACCAGAACATGATAAAGAACTTCCTTAGTTAGCACACAACGAAGTAAGCTCCGATATCATCGATTAGGTATCAGACAGTGATATCGACTGCTCTGTGTACCTAATTTTTTCAATTTTGTAATACTGTCGAAAGAGAAATTGATGATCTTTACTGCAATACGCAGCTAAAAAACTAAATTTTCATCAGTAGGACAAATCAGAAGGCGCACTTTTTGCTGCTGAGTTTTATTTTACAGAATTCTTAATTATTTTCATGAAAGAGCAGAAGAACGAGCCACCAAATGCACGGTTTTCCAAATTTTAGTTTCGAAAGAAGTGAAAAATATGGGACCTTAATCAAGTTCTAGACATTCCGTCTGCTCTGTACAATGTGAAAGTGCATTTGTAAATTGTTGAACAAGTAACGGCTAATACAAAAAGCTTCCTTCTTCGTCTGTTTTTGAGAGATCGTTATATGCCATCTCTTAACGCTGTGACATCCCGTTTTTGACTATAGATAATATCTTCTATCAGTTTCACGTCTGCAGTTTTGCTGAAGCAACGCAGCACTGTATTGCTAAGATTAACGATGGGAATTGCTATCTAAGATTTTGGTGAAACAGCCAAACAACCCCTGTAATACCGAATTTAGAAGTATGCTATTAGTACTAAACAAAGAAAAATTAACTATCAGTAATTATTATCAGACGCCAAAGACTACTATTGAACAACAGTAGAGGACTGGAACTACAGACTACCAACACCGTACCATTAGACCTAGGCCGCCGGATTCATTTTATCCTCCCAACATAGAGAACGTGACATCATAACAAGTGCTTCGAGTTCAGAAACTTCGTCATCGTCATTACTGGTTCTTAGCGCTGCATTAAAAATGTAAACCTGATCTATGGCTTCTGCAATATGCACTGTTTTCCTTCAATTTTTCTCTTCAATTATTTCTTCCTAAGGTAGAAGATGTAAGATTCTCAGGCTAATATAATAAAAGAGATGTGAACTCCTGTATTCACACTCATCATCCTTATCATTGCCTAGACGGCAAAAGTCGTTAGCACTGCACATCATGACCGGTACCTAGCCAACGAAAGACTTTAACTCAATCTTTAATAAAATTAAAGGATTGTACAACTGCCTTTAAAATAATCTGGTAATCACTGGTCTAAAAATTTTATAAAACAACACTCCTCACCCGTCAGCTGTAAATGTTTAGGTATGTGATAAGAGAACGGAAAAATTTCAGACAAAACAGCTGGTATCACCTTAAGTAGCCGTCAAATAAGCGTTAAAATGAGGTCAGTGAGTAAGACATTATTCAAAACCCGTAGATTCTTGAAAACTGCAGTTTTTTGATTAAGTGCCAGAACACGATATACATTGTTTCAAAAATAGCAGCCATATTACGAAAACCCACAACCTTGATTAGGACATGACATTCTCGCGTCTTTCCCAGGAGCCACCGAAAACACAAGCGAAGCTTTGACGATGGCCACGACTGTATATTTACGCTAGCCCATTACTAAACAAGTATAGCAGTTTTCATTGCGGTATTTCAAATTTGGTAATTTATGGTTTGTGATAATTTTGTATCACGACTGGATCGCAATATAATATTTCAATTTTAATGTACCTGATTCTTCCGTTTATACACATATTTGTCTTTGTTAACTGAGCTTCAGCGCTACCCCGTTTGTAGTAAGGCCAGTTATGGCTTGCGGTTTTGTTCTAAAATATTTCGAAGAGAGTAATAAATATATCTTTTCTGTGCAGTTCTTCCTGGTAATAGAAAAATGTGGTTAGGCTTAGTTTGTTCTAGGCTGCTAACAAGTTGTTGTCTTTGTAGTACTCAGTGTTGTTTTGTCATCTTTTTTTCTTTCCTAGTTTTTCACTGTTTTAGACTGTGGTGTTTTTATATAGAGGATTAGTATATTAATAATAGTAATACTTAATAATAATAATAATAATAATAATAATAATAGTAATAGTAATAGTAATAATAATAATAATAATAATAATTATTATTATTATTATTATTATTATTACATTACTATTATTATTATTATTATTATTATTATTATTATTACTAATTAATAATAATAATCATTATTACACATTATTATTATTATTATTATTATTATTATTATTATTACTAATTAATAATAATAATAATAATCATTAATACTATTATTATTTATTATTTTTGTTTTTATTGTTATTATCATTTTTTTTCTGCTGTAACTGTTGATTATTGACAAAACTGCTGAAATAGCGA